GGTTAAAAACAAGACAGCTTTAACATGTTCGCTACCGATCGCCACATATATGAGACGCTGCGGTCATTGCCATGGCCCGAGGTATACATTTTAATATTACACATAGACCAGATGTTACTTGGTAAACAGTACACGCAGACCATATGGGCCAGTGATGCAGCAAAGTAAAAAACAGGTTTACCTACGAACATATGACGTCACTAATCATCATATCCATGACGCACATATGCGACAGAAATCTCTGTAGACCACTGCATAGAATTCAGGGCCTTCAAATAGACCATTACGAAGATATAAGCTTTCTAATAACAGAGAGACACCAACGCAAATATGCGACGTCAGTCTATTTTAATGGGACCAGCTGTCACATATGTGTGTCGCTGGTCCATATGAATGAAAAATTTAGTACTGTTGCGGTAGCAAACGTGTTAATAAAACGCTCTCTATAAAAAATTAAGCCCTTTGTAAATAATTTTGACATAACACAGGTAAATAAAAAAATAAAATCAGAAATAACAAATTAGAACATTGTACAGTGAATTTACTGACATTCATAAAAAAAAAACTAGCTTACATTAGATGAAACTGACAATATTTTTTAGCGTTTTGATGAATTCGAAGAACATTACTATATTGCAAAAGTAGCTTTCAAGGAATTTTCAAACAAAAATTTATCTTTGAATTATAATATTTAAAGTACATTTCGAGGCCTGGTTTAAATCATTCAAGTTCTGGTAGTTCAATAGACAATGTTCAAGAATCAAATCTTTTAAAGCTTCAAAATTCAATCTACAACCTTTTGATAGATAAATATGAAAATTGGGTTTCCTTCTTCGACCTATTTCAATCAACAACTAATGAAATTAGATTTGTTCATCGGGATATTGATCAACCTATTTGTTAATGCGTGGCATGTAGACATGTTTTGTTCCCACGGGTGGTTTGAGTCTGCTGGTATTATACAGTCACTTGTAGTTGGTTTTCTATAAATTTCAAAGTTATGAGATCTATTTTCCTTTGGAATCGTCACGTCTAGGAAATTTATTTTGTTCTCTTGTATCTCTTGAGAGAATTGTATCGTGTTTGATAAGGAGTTGATATAGTTTAAAAGTCTTTTTAATTACATAAAAGAAAAGAATCTAATTAAATACTTGGCATTTAAAAATGGATACAACCCTAGAATGATAGAAAACATGATTAAGAAAAAACAAATGAAAAAGAAAAACAAAATTGTAACAGAAAAACAAAAGAATGATTTTATTTGTGTTCTATATAATAGTAAATTCAATAGAGCAATCAGGAAAACATTCAAAAATTCTACATTAAATGTAAGTTACCGAACCAAAAACAACGCATTAGAAGTAATTAAGGGGGGAGTTCATGAAAAAAGTAAAAATCTTTAAATTTAAGCTTTAAGTATTTATACTATGTATGATTGTTACACATAACCATGGAAACATAAAACAATTGTGGAAAAAAAATTTCCACCCCCCGAAGGAAGGGGGGGGGGTCGGTTTTACCATTTACAAGGGTTCGCTAGATCCTGTACGGATTATAAACCATATATGCAATTTGAATTTTTTTTCTTTCCAAGTGTTCCTAAGGGTGTGCTCTATGATCTGTAGGATGGGTTTGACTTTATCATAATAAGTAATAGTAAAAACAAAAAGTTAAAAATAAAAGCTGAATTTTACAAAAAAAATATAAAAAATGTTTTTTAAAAATATGTTCTGTTTATTTTTTTTTTAAATCCATCCTACAGATCATAGAAGGGAATAAACGCAACAAAAAAAAAAAATTATCATTCTATCTGTCATAGGAGCTGAGCTATGTAATTTCTAAGGTGTAAAAATACAACTTTCGGAAATCACCAAATAACTAAAACAGCGCGCTTTTCAGTACAGTTTAACTAACAATTTACCTTTAGAACTGACCGGGCCCATATGTTACACCTTCATTTTCCTTCCTCTTCTCTTCCTCTTGCATGTTCTTTATCTTTAAATAATGCCTCCTTCTCTTCAACCTCGCACACTTGGCTTTTTCTATTCTAATCTGACGACGACGGTCACATATTTTTGCCAGGGACGACGCTTTACTGCCAGGTGAGAGTGATGCATTTATCATACTTGTAATGGTTGCTACATTTCCAAAGTTATATTCACTGATTGCATCAGCTGCTGCAATCTCTACTAGTCTTTTTGACACACTCCTGGACTTTTCGCACTTACGCCATATATTGCTATGTAAGCTTTCATTGCTGTTTTGCGTTTGCCCCTTCAGACATTTTCTCAAAAGCTCTGCATCAGTCAGCCTCTTATAAACTGGTATCAAATACTTCAAAACAGTATCATTGATGGGAGTCTTTATGTTATCACTGTGGTTACCTGGTGTTTCATTGTTGGCCAGAGCTCTATTATAAAAACACCAACTATGTTCTCCCCGTGGACATTTGAAATGTTTTGGATATTTGTCCGTAGAAATGCAGTGATATAGAGTGCCTAAAATAGAGTTTTTCATTGATGTAACATCCTTGTTTATATTTTCAGCTATTGCATTATGATAATACCTTGTTAGTTTTGTAATTGTTTTGTCAGTCAGACTGCCAAAGGTCTTTCCCCCGAGTGTAACTTTTTCGGCTTTTCTTGTGTCTTTCACAAGGTTTCTCAGTGCAGTTCCAAGTCTTTTGGAAACATGGTTGATGCATTCTTCTTTTGTGATTGATACATCACCATACACATTCATTTCTTTCAGGTGACTAAAAACTTTAGAGTCCCCATCACTGACTACAGTCGTGTACCGGAAATTGTATTCAGTCGAGCGTGTCCACAATATTTCTGCAGCGGTGACTTCCATGGCTGGAGAGGATCCGCTATAGTTTTTTCACACACTGGAGCATGTCCTTGAAACCGTATATTGAATTCAGGGCTGTCTTCACCCAATTGTTCCTTGGTAAGTGCGCAGTTGCGACAAAATTTTGATAATACACAAAAATCTATTACCAATCCGGTGTCAATATGAATTACACTCCCTACTCCATAGTTTGATGTAAATCCACGCTTATGCCAGCTTCCATCATAACTAACTGCCAAATCTATAACACTAGTTTCTGTAAGAGAATCATCTTGCTCCTTACAAAAATCCCGAACCTGTTTTCTGGCTTTGGCCAAGTACTCACCGCTGGTCACTTTAGATAACTTGTGAAGTGTAGTACAGCTTTTGTGAAAAAGCCCTTTGCTCATAGGAGTCATATTCATTATTAGTGAAAACTGCTCAACAGCAGAGTGACCTTTACTTATGTTTAGGAAGGCTTTAGTTACTCTTCTATTTACATCAAATTCTGAATCGCCAGAAATTTTTTTTGAACTTGATACACATACAATTTCTTTTTGACAAATTCCGCACTCAACCGCTAAATAAGAGTTAAATCCTACTTTATTCTTTGAAACTAAAATAAGTTCAGGTTCTAGGCAGTCAGGACAAGCAAATTTTTCTACCATAGATTTCAAAGAGTTCAAATCAACTAATAAATACTCAGGCGCTATTTCTTTGGATAGGCCTACTTCTTGGTCGATTTTAAATGTATATAAATAAAATTAGGTTCAACAGGTACCTAGGTTTGCTGCTACAGGTAGGTTATTATAGTGTGTTTTTTTTTAATAAAATATTAATAACTTAGTGTAAAATAACTAATTTTCCAAGTTCATAATATATCTATAAACAAGCAAACTACAACAGTTAACTAATTCATAAGAATAGCATGGGAGTTTTAAATTTACAATTTACAAATTTGAATATTAAAATTTTGGTTGTGTTTACTAAAAATATGGCGATTATTCGTCACAATTCGAATACTAACCAAAGGGGTTTTCAAAAGAAGATGGAGAGATGGATAATATTAATTCGTACCAAACACCGAAAATATTGTATGCAGTGAGGTAATCTACCATATTTTGTAAAGTACTTAAATTACTTAAAGCTTAAATTTTAAGATTTTATAGTATCACACTATTTAACTAAATGGGATAAATTATCATAATCCTTGAAAGTAACGGTCAATTTCCATGTGTTTCACCTATTTTTGATAAATAGAAAAAACTAAATATACTTAATCACAAATAACTCAAAAGCCGTTGGGTTTAGAGAAAGATGATAAATACAAAAAATGTGTATTTTTAGATGGACTACATTTTGTATATTTAGCTTTTTCCTGTATCTCTAATAATAAAGTCACTATAGCGAAAAATACAGAAATATGCCGCCATTTTCCAATATGGCGGCCGTAGCACAGCTTCAATTTTAGGGGACTTTTAGTATGTTCAAAAGGAAGGTACACCCAACATCTGTACCAAATTCCCCGGTTGAGCTAATTTTTTTTAGGTTTATGGAATTTTTCTCTTATTTTTACTGCACTAGAAAGCCTTTCCTCTACTCAAATTGCTTCTCTTAGTTTGGTATCCTTCCTCTTCAAACGTGTTGATACTGCTTCTATTAAGTAATCAAAAGCGTTTTGGGACATTCGATAATGTTCAAAAAAACTTGTCTGAATACTTTTGTAGTTTAATATGCAATGTGTGGAACATCCCTTCGGACTTTCTGTTGCTTAATATTGGATGGATCCACCATTTTCGCTGCTGTGAACAGCGTCTTCTTGATAAAAGTACACTGATGACACTGTGAATGTTAATTTGCGGCATGATCCAGGGCCAAGTTGAACACACTAAACTACTTGTGGTCAGTGGAGCCACCAACTGTCACGTGTAGCGTGCTACAATTTGCAGCACAACAATTTACGGCAGGTGGAGCCGCAGCCTTAATAATCATTTCTGCCGGAGGCTGCCGGAGGCAGTAAGGATTCATAGTTATGTCTGAAACATTGAAGGGACTAGAAATAAACCTGTATCAACTGTTATTTAAGTTTATTTTTTTGGAAAACCTGGTTCGTATGCGAGTCCAGATGATTTGGATACGGATGAACTGGACTTTACTGTATACTTTTTCAGGCTCTGTCACCACTAGGTGTGGGTGTGGCTACTGGGGAGATGATTTGTAACAGAGTGATGTTCAAACAATTCCTCCAGTTGGGAGCGATGCAGTACTGTCAGATAGACGCCTGCAGAGTGGGAGGTGTAAATGAGTTGTTGGCCATTTATCTGATGGCTCACAAGTTCAAAGGTAACTCATTTCTTTTTTAAACATAAATGTGTTAAAAAGGCGTGTAGGAAAATTAAACGGTGAAAAACGTTGTTTCCAAATTTTCCTCTAGTTGCATTACGAGTGTAAAATTTCATTAAGACAACTTTTGATAATTCACATGTAGTGTTTTTTATGGTTGTGATTATATTGTTATTTAAAAAATCAAAACAAACTATTTAGATTTTTTAAGTGCTCTAAAAAATGGCAACTCTGCAATGACTTATGACCATCAATTACATAGTTCTTTACTAATCCTACAGCTGGTATATTACTACTACTGTCTCCCATATCATAAGTGTTGCAACTGATAAGTGAAAGTCTATAGTTATTTTTGCATCATTGTTTGCTGGTTTGATCTGTTGCAGTACCAGTATGCCCGCACGCCGGGGGTGTCGGTCTCTGTGAGATGGTTCAACATTTGCAGATATTCGACTACATTGCACTATCAGGCACAATGGAACACAGAATGATAGAATACGTAGACAAACTACACGAACAATTTGAAGAACCTGTTGTCATCAAGCAAGCCAAGTATCAAGTTCCCAAAGTGAGTTACACTCATGGCAGGGCAGTAGTTCTGGAGTATAATGTGGTCACCATCGATCTCTATTACTACAACTGGGTTGCACGCTGTGTGCTGGGTTTTCGCTCCTCCCATCACCTAACGTCTGAGCTGTCTCCCTCTTACTCATTACGTCTTATGGCGTTTCCGTGTTTGCGCTCGGAAAATACGCTATATCTCTGTTCATAGTGGCTCGATTATCAATTTATTTACACAGTTGTAATCTGCATAAAATTGCGGAGATTATGGTATATTTTATATCAAAATAATTCTTTTTTAGATTATATTAATACTTAAATCTACTAAATACGGATTGTTATTGTCACTTTTTAAATTAATTATAAAGCTGTTATTGCTAATGATTAATTATTTTAATTTAGCATACACACTTATGTTTTTAATGTTTAATCTTATGTTTTTTATGCATTTAACATGTAAGCGAGAGCCGCAGCGTTAAAATAAATATAATATCCAAGAAATAATCTAATTTATGATTTTTGATTGTGTAATACAGTAGGCCTATTAACTGATTCAAACGATCAATAAATTAAATGAAAGCCTAAGTATTCAGCATCAAAATTATTATTATTATTTTATCTTCCCATTCTCATTGGGGCCTACTCTCCCTTAATTAGAGTAGTGGTGGCAGCGATACCTCCTGAAGACCCTTGACTTTTCTCGCGACCGGTACAGAAATACCTCATAAAAATTTGTTTTTATGTTGGTTTTTCACCTTGGGTTTGCTTGAAACTCGTCCGATTCGAATAACTAATAGCTTATGTGAAAGCGGGTATTTCACTGAAGGTTCTTAGACCAAAATATAAGATTATATAATTAAAGCTTGTGAAATACATCTTAAATTGATGTGAGAATTTGAAAATGATTCAAAGTATGTTTTTTAGTCAAGCAATACAGTAGATAAATATATGCCGTTTGCTTCATGGCAAATCTGTGCGTGCATACCTTCAATTTGAGACCCCAATCATGAAAATCGATCGGGTAGAGCCAAATGAACTCGGAAAATAAAAACCAAATTTAACTTCCATAAGAAAAACATGGGGAGCGAATTTCGTTTAGGTATAAGCCAAGTGGGATTATAGATAAATATATGCCGATGCCTGGGGCAAATCTGTGCGTGCATACTTTCAATTTGAGACCTCAATCATGAAAATTGGTCGCAGCAGAGCCAAACAAACTCGGAAAAGAAAAACCAAATTTTTTTATATATAAGATTTATCATTTTAGTAATAAAATATGATTCATACAGCTAACTTATCCAAAGTCATATATTTGTTCAGTTGGAGTGCCAAATGAAACAAGCACCAAAAGGCTTGGAATAGGTTATGAAAAAACATGTTATTAACAATTTACAATTTCCTATGTGTTTTTGAGCAGTATTAATTTGTGCAACTTTATGTTTCTAGGCTTACAATTAATTGTGGCAAAAAATTGTATAATTTTGAAAACTTAAAACAACTATAATTGTGACTTAACTTCTCTAATCCCTGATGCTTTTGTAATTAAATAAATTATAATCGGGTTTAAAGTGATTTGATTGTAAGTACAAAGTAATATGCATTAAGTAAATAAGATAGCCTTAGACCTCTGTATTTTAAGAGGCTTAATAATAATAATAATTTAACATAAAAATATTAAGTCAGGCACTTTTCTTGTTTTAATAATGATACAACGGGGTTTTTACTGACGTAAAACTACATCAAAAGCTTCGTACTTTTATAACGAGTACAATGGTGGAATTGGCATTTAAATAGAATAAGTATCAACAAAGACATGACAGTTTTAATCAATGAAAACACATTCTCCCCATATAAAGTGAATGGCAGCGGCAGTGCGGTTCATACGTTAGGTGGTGGGGGGAGCGCCGCACCGATACGTGTGTATCTCTGAGCAGTACAGCGCGTGAACCAGTTGTAGTTATAGAGATCGATGGTGGTCACATATATTTCAACAATATTGTGTTAATTGTTTCTCAAAATATGTCCATATTTTGACTTCTGATTAGTGGGAAATATTTGAAACTAGCTGTACCCACGGGCTTTGCCCCGTTTAACTTCATAAGTGAACTCGTTCGCATGGCTCAATCATGTCCTGGTTGAAGTTCGTTCGCTACGCTCACTTGCCTTCAGGTTAGCTCGTTCGCTACGCTAACTCACCTCCAGGTTGAAGTTCGTTCGCTACGCTCACTCACCTTTTCGCATGGCTCAATCACGTCCTGGTTGAAGTTCGTTCGCTACGCTCACTCACTTTTAGGTTAGAGCTCGTTCGCACTGCGCTCACTTGTCTTCAGATTAGCTCGTTCGCTACGCTAACTCGCCTCCAGGTTGAAGTTTGTTCGCTACGCTAACTCGCCTCCAGGTTGAAGTTCGTTCGCTACGCTCACTCACCTTTTGGTTGCAAATTAGCTGTTGTAATAAATGTAAAAGAAATAATAGTGCTGCACCCTGTTGGTAATCCTTGTAACTTTAATACTATTGAACATCATAGAACAGAACCAACTTGTTTAATTGAAACAGCTGTTAAGATTCATTAATTCCATTTAAATATGAGTACTCATAAGGTTAACATGGGAAACTCCAGAGCCACTGGGGCGGAGCCCAGAGGTCGGAGGGTAAAATCCTTTCTTAGTGAGCGTCTACTACCCAAAAGGAAGATGCCTGCCAAGTTTCAGGTTCCTAGGTCTTATGGTTTCTGAGATTTCGTGATGAGTGAGTGAGTCAGTGGTATTTGAGCTTTATATATATAGATAACAAAGCTTATATAATACACTTGTTCAGTATTCATTAAAAGGCATGCCAGCTAGTGATGCGCGATTGTGAGATTTACCATTCGAAATGGCCAATGACAATAATTAGTTAATTTTAGCGAATTTCCCAATAGGGAAGTAGGTAGCTATTACCGTAGGTCTCATGGTAAGACCTAGGCCTGGGACCGATTTACTTTTTAATTTTGATGTCCCCTGAGGCCAAAAACACTATTAGTTCAAATTGTTATACATGTATATATATATATATATACTAGCTGTAACCCGCGGGCTTTGCCCCGTTTAACTTCTTAATTTTCAAGATGATCTCGTTCGCATGGCTCAATCACGTCCTGGTTGAAGTTCGTTCGCTACGCTCACTCACCTTTAGGTTGGAGCTCGTTCGCTACGCTCACTTGCCTTCAGGTTAGCTCGTTCACTACGCTAACTCACCTCCAGGTTGAAGTTCGTTCGCTATGCTCACTCACCTTTTGGTTGCAAATTAGCTGTTGTCATAAATGTAAACGAAATAATAGTGCTGCACCCTGTTGGTAATCCTTGTAACTTTAATGCTATTGAACATCATAGAACAGAACCAACTTGTTTAATTGAAACCTTTCAAATGATATGAAGAGTATCTTAAAGAGTAGCTCAAGAATAAGCTTGGAAAAAATTTGGCGCTGTTCCGTTCAGTAGGTGGGTACTAGTTAAGGTAATACGGTACTTAACTTCAAAGTCCTTTTTTTAACGTTTTGACCCACCCTATAAATACAGTTAAAGATAATTAATTTTTTTCACCAAAATTGTTGGGGGTGATTCAGGGGTGTCCATCCCCCCTAAGGCTTTTGACGCAAATTCCCTCCCAAAATTGGTCAAGACAAACCTGCCCAATCCAGTCGTATAGCTTCACTCCATATTTCAAGTGTCACTTTAACCGTAAAACTGTTTTTTTTTTTGTAAAATGTGAATAGTTAGTAAGAAATAAAAACATTTTCCAAGTTTGATCAAAATATGTTCACAAACAAGCAAACTACAACAGTTTATTTATTCTCCATAAGAATAACATGGGAATTTTAAATTTACAATTTTTTGGAATTTTCTCCGTAACCATTAGGCGCATAATAACGCTTCAATATACTAAATTATTTGTTTTTTTAAGCTCTACAAAATGGTTTGGAAAGAAATTGCTAAATTTTATGTTTTTTAGGTCAAAAATGGGAAAAACCTATTTTTACCCTTTAAAACCCCCCGTAAACCCCCGTTCCCATGGTCTGATCATGCTGGATCGCGAACTCGTTCGAATAAACATACGTTTACACGTTTGTACCAAATTTCATCAAAATCGGATCATTTTTGCTCTAGTTATCGTGCTGACGGACACATATATATATATATAGCTGACCCGGCGAACTTCGTATCGCCTAAGTTATAGGTTTCCCCTAAGACAGACCGATGGAAAGAAAGTACCGTTACGTTTAATTTTCAAGATGATCTCGTTCGCATCGCTCAATCACGTCCTGGTTGAAGTTCGTTCGCTACGCTCACTCACCTTTGGGTTGGAGCTCGTTCGCTACGCTCACTCACCTTTAGGTTGGAGCTCGTTCGCTGCGCTCACTTGCCTTCAGGTTAGCTCGTTCGCTAGGCTCACTCGCCTCCAGGTTGAAGTTCGTTCGCTACGCTCACGCACCTTTTGGTTGCAAATTAGCTGTTGTCATAAATGTAAAAGAAATAATAGTGCTGCACCCTGTTGGTAATCCTTGTAACTTTAATGCTATTGAACATCATAGAACAGAACCAACTTGTTTAATTGAAACAGCTGTTAAGATTCATTAATTCCATTTCTCATAAGGTTAACATGGGAAACTCCAGAGCCACTGGGGCGGAGCCGATTGGACGGGTCCCGAAATTGATGGTGTATAAACCTATTCCATGAAATTCTACACGTATGTACCAAGTTTCGTGGCAATCGGTTCAGCGGTGTCTGAGTTTATCACTGCCAAATATATATACAAACATCCTCTTTTATACTTACTTATAGATCTATATGTCCATCTGCACGATAACTTGAGTAATTTTTGTCCGATTTTGATAAAATTTGGTTTGAAGGTGTAAGGCGTGATAAACTTGAATGAGTTCGCGAACCAGCATGATCGGACCATGGGAACGGGGGTTTTATGGGGTAAAAATGGGGTTTTCTCATTTTTTACCCCTAAAACACAAAATTTATCAATTTTTCTCCAGACCTTTTTTAAAGAGCTTAAAAAAACAAATAATTTAGTATATAAAAGTGTTTTTGCACAATAATTGGTTACGGAGAAAAATCAAAAAATTGATAATTTAAAATTCCTATGTTATTCTTATGGAGAATATTATAATATGTTGTAGTTGGCTTGTTTATGGATATATTTTGTTCTAACTTGGCGTTTTCATTTATTACTAAGCT